AATAACATCATTTTCAATAAGGGCAAATTGGTCCAGTCACTTTTATATTTTCCGATGGGCATAAAAGGGTTGGAATATGAGGTACAATGGTCAAATAAATAGTTTTGGTAGTAGAGTTATTTGTTAACTCTAATGTTCTATATGATCAAATAAATATTCTGTATTTCTGTTTTTAAGCTACTTCTTATAATATACCTTTGCTGCTAATTACCTTTTATGGTGTGTTTGATAACATCAGTTTGCATCAAATGGTTATATGAAAAAATAATTAGCAATGCATTTTCATTGATTTGTGTATTACATTACAACATTGTAAATTGAAAAAAACTATCGAATTATAGCAAAACCATCCGAATAAAAAGCTAATTTTATAGCAATTGGTATGGTTTTTTTTAAGTATAATGTCCTAAAAGGAAATTCGGAAAGTACAATGTCATAATATGGTAGTTTTTTAAAAGTGCAATGCCTTGATAAGAAACTCTTTGAAAGTACAATGTGGTATAAAAAGAAAAAAAGTAGAATATTATAATACATATATGAAAGTACGTTTCCATTTCTTGAATTTTTCCATCAATAAGATAGAATATAATATTATTTAAAGGAAGTTAAAACACAAACTAGCTCACTTGTCACAATAGGATGCCAAAAGAAAAAGGAATACAAACATTTATTCTAGTATGAAGATAGTGGAAGACACAAACATTGCTCATATGCCAAAAAGAGGATGTTTATGTAGTTCAAAAAAAAGAAAATAATAAAGATATTTATTCTAGGACAATGATCTTACCATCAAATTATTCTACCCAAATATAGCAATCGCNAAAGAGAATAATAAAGATATTTATTCTAGGACAATGATCTTACCATCAAATTATTCTACCCAAATATAGCAATCGCATCAAAATCCAAACACACTTCCACTACTATATAGATATACTAAGAAATTTATATTAAATACAGTGTTGAAATAAAAAGAAATGAAAGTAGTATGCTATAATACACAAACAAATGAAAGTAGTTTACTATTTCATGCATTTTTCCTTTACGAAAATAGGGTTTGTTATTACTTATAGAAAGTTAAAACACAAAATAGCTCATTGATGTAGTTTACAAGAAGGAATTTTCATTACTATATTTATGTATGTTTTTCAAAATATAATGTCCAAATAAGAAAGAATTTAATGTACAAGACTATAATTGATTTTTCAAAAGTTGTAATAGAAATAAATCAAGTAGTAAACTATCATACACAAATAATTAAGAGTAAGTTGTGATTTCTTGATTTTTATTCCAATACGATAATAGGATATAATAATATAAGCCATAAATCATTAAACCAATTGTAGCAATGTCCATAAAATACAAAGCAATTTTCACTACAATATAAGACATATAACGTCCTAATAAGAAAAAATCAATAGTATCATGCTATAACTTTGGTAGAAATTTCAAAGAAGAGTGCCTTAAAAAGAAAGGTTTTTTCCTAAATACAACTTTGTAATAGAAAGAAGTAGAGTAGTATGCTTTAGTACACAAATAAAAGAAAGTACATTGCTACTTTTTGAAATTTCCTTTACAAAATTTAAAATATACTATTGTTTAAATGGAGCTAAACTACAA